ACTGATCTGCCTTGCCCAGGAAGAGTGCAATGATGGTGCCAACTTGGGCCAGTGAAGCAACATCCTCCACAACTAGACTGAAGAACAAAAGGACAGACAGCAACTTGTCTGTTCCTCTTCCCCAATTCCCTAGCACTGTTCCCATCCCCCCAATTCCCCAATAAAAATCTTAAAAAAAAAACATTTCCCCAAAGCCTATAAAGTGCCATACACAAAGAGTCCTAAGTGCAAGTTTAAAAAAATACTATGTATAACCAAAACATGTTCTATACTTATTAAAAGTAACATGTAAAATGTCACCTACCATATCAGGCACAACAAATGCATCACACTGTAAAATTTTATTATAAATTCTCAGTGTTGATTAGCAGAGTGAACTGAAACTAAATTCCTGTCTGGTTTTCTACTGCTTGGTCCCCACGTTTTAATACTTGCAGAATGTGGCATTTGCTCTGCAAAGAAAAGCATCACAGTACCTTATAATGTTTATTCACCACAGCATCATGTAGGGGAGTGATCTGATACATTCCTTTGACATTTACATCCGCTCCACCTTTTACCAGTTCACTTGCTGTCTCATAAAATCCTCCTACACTAGCTTCATGAAGTGCTGTCCAACCTGTTACACAAAAAGGAAATGGTATTTGTTTACATTCGGCATCTTAATAATGTTTTGTGCTTACCACATAAAATAAAATAAAATAAAAGCTGTAATCCTAAGTTATTTCTTTGAAAAATTTTTGACTATATGAGACAAGATAATCTCACCATGAAAACAAACTGTATTATTTGGTGAATTCAATAAATCTGAGGGACAAATCAAATTCCCACCCCCAACTCTGTTGTAGAAAAATATCAAAAGAAATAAAATATTTAAAACTATTCCTGCCCTCCTCAAATAAAAAGGGCTGAAAAGGGATCATTATTAGCTCATATAGAATGCTGGCTGAAGGCTATGTTTCCACAAAGAGGGGAAAAAAGCTTTATTTCTAGCTCAGGGTACATCCATTAATGTAATCCAACTGACAGGACTACATAAAAGCCAGTTCAAAAGTATTTATTTCTTTTCTCCTTATTTGCATAAAACTATTTACAGTAGTTCAACTAATAAACCACAAGATGCTCCAAGAAAACTGGTCATCCAGATAAATATTATTTTTCTCTATTAGCCAGAGACAAAGGTATTAAGTTGTAGATATTTATTATATTTCAATAAATCATATGATTGATGTAAGCAAACCTAAATGTTTCATGTTAAAAGTGTATTTCACTACCTCTTTCCATAACCTTCTCCATAAACGAAGGTTTCTCAATCTCGGCACTGATATTTTGGCTGGAAAATTCTTTGTTGTTGTGAGCATTCTACCAAATGCCAGTAGCACCCCCTCCTTTCCAGTTGTAACAACTAAAAATGTTTCCAGAAACTGCCAAATGTCCCCTGAGAGGCAAAATCACCCCAGTTAAGAACCACAGCCATAAAATGTTATAGGAGTTTCTCTTTTAGTATTAAATAGAAAGCATAGAGGAAGAAACAAAGAGCACCAACAAATGGTAAATATATTGTGAATAGGTTTTCTTCCTATAAATTTCCTTAAAATGCATATGGTTATGTAAAGCAAAAATTATAACATTATGTTTGGGGTTTATAATGTATATAAACATAAGATATGTGATAGCTGCTGCATAAACATATGTCCAATGTTTATACATTTTTTTCTTTTCTTTATTTTTTATTTATTTTTTTTTTAGCTGAGCCATCCTGCCAACTGTTGGCAGCTCAGCGGCAGCTCAGCTCAGCCCAGGAATCAAACTGCTGTTGCTTAGAGCTCGCACTCTTGAGCAAGCTCTCAACCAACTGAGCCACTTGGCCAGCCCTCAATGTTCATACATTTTACATGAAGCATTACAATATTAACTCTAAGAAGACTGTGAAATATTAAAGATGTATATTGTACTCCCTAGACTATCCATTACAAAATAATGCAGACAAAGAAACAAACAGATGAAGCTCACAAGAAACAATTAGTAAAATGGTAGTCCTAAATCTAACCATTTTATTAAATGAAAATTGACTAATCACCCCAATTAAAAGGCAGAGATTGTCAGAGTGGATAAAACAGCAAAGCTGTGTGCTGTCTATGAGAAATACATTTTAAATATAAAGACATAGATAGATTGAAACTAAAAGGCTAAAAATGATATAGCAAACAGACAACAAACACAAGAAAGCTAGGATGTCTGTAATACTGTATAAAATATAATAAAGTATATTAATATATAAAGTCTAAAGATATCCTAGATAAAGAGATTTTGTAATGATTAAAAGATCAATTTATCAGAAGACATAACAATTTTAACTGTGTATGTACCTAATAACAGAGCTTCAAAATATAAGAAGCAAAAATGGACAGAATTAAAAGGAGAAACAGACAATTCCACAATCATAGTTGTGAAGATTTTGATATCCCTCAGAAAATGATAAATCAACTAGACAAAAAAAATCAGTAAAGTCAGAGATGTTCTGAACATTACCAACCACCTTCATATAACTGACATTTATAGAACATTACAACTAAAGAATAAATATTCAAGTGCACAAGGGATATTCACCAAGAAAGACCATGTACTAGACAACAAACCAATTCTCCACAAGTATAAAAGAATCAAATTCATAGTAAGTGTATCCTTTGACCACAATGGAATTAAATTAGAAGTCAATAACAGAAAGATATCAGAATAATCCTCACATATTTAAAAATTAAACTTCTCATATAACAATCCTGGGGCCAAAGAAGTAATCATACAAGAATGAATAGTATTTCAAACTAAATGATAATAAAAATGCAATATATCAAAATTTGTGGGATGCAGTAAAAGAAGTATTTAGAGGGAATTTTAAAGTTTTAAATGCTTATGGTAGGAAAGAAGATACAAAAATCTATGACCTCATTTTCAACCTTAAGAAGCTAAAAAAATGAACAAACACAGGAAACCAAAAATAAGTATAATAGAAGTCAGAGAAAGAGTAGAAATAAAATACAAAACAGGTAATAAAGAAAAAATTTAAAGCCAAGTTAGTTCTTTGAAAAAAATTAATAACATTGATAATCCTCTGTGGTGGTTGCTCACTCACGGGTCATGAAACATCAGCAGAAGAGTTGCTGGGGGCAGGGTCTAGAGTAGACAGCTGTAGTAGAACTAACTAGGTTAGTTCTCTAACCAGAAAGCAATTTGCTTTGGCCTGTAGTGGAATCTTCTGTTGTGTTCGGCTTTGTCCCTTGGGGTGGGGGAAGGTGCGGTTAAACTTGTTATTGCAACCTTTGCATATGTTATGTAAATTTAAGTTCGAGCCACCCACCCCCTACCCCAAATGACTCATTCCTGTTTACCCGTACCTGTCTTATCATCCTCTAGCTTAGGAAGGATAGAAGAATAAAGAAGAAAGGAAGGGAGGAAAGAAAGAAGGGAGGAAGGAAAGAAGGGCGGAAGGAAGGGAGGAAGGAAGAGAAGGAAGAAAAAAAGGAAGAAGGAAATAAGCAGTATGAGGAATGAATAGTAAAATATCCCTAAAGATCTTCAGATATTAAAATAATATCAAGGGCCGGCCGAGTGGCACGTTGGTTAGGAGTTGGCTTGGGATACCAGCTCTGAGCAGCAGGGCCCCAGTTCGGATCCCACATGAGGGCCAGTGATGCTGCGCCTTCTACAGCTAAGATAGTGAACAACAGCTCGACCTGGAGCTGGGCTGCTGTGAGCCACTGGCAACAGCGTAGGCTGCAGTGAGGCTGCAGTGGGCTGCCATAAGCTACTGTGAGTGGCCGGCAGCCAGCGTGAGCTGCCAAGAGCTGCCGTGAGCGGCTGGCGGTGGCCGGCGACCCATCTGCCTCACCCGGGAAGAGCACAGTGATAATACCAACATGGTCCAGTGAAACAACGTCCTCCACAACTAGACTGAAGAACAAAAGGACAGCAACTTGTCTGTTCCCCTTCCCCGATTCCCCAATGCTGTTCCCCACCCCAATCCCCTAATAAAATCTTTAAAAAATAATAATAACAAGAGAATATTATAAATGCCTTTATGCCAATAAATTCTATAACTTTGACTATAAGGACAAATTCCTTGAAAACTACAACTTACCAAAACTGACACAAAATAAAACAGAAAATCTGAACAGCCCATACCTATTAAAATTTTTAATTTATTACCAAAATCTGCCCACAAAGAAAACTGCAGGCCCAGATAGTTTCACTCTTAAGCTCTGTCAAACATTTAAGGAAGAAAAACCCCAATCTTATACAAATTCTTCCAGAAAACAGAAGAGGAGAGAATAAACCAAAGACTTTACAAGACATTTATAGACCAATAATCCTTATCAACAGAGATATAAAAAAATCCTTAACATAATATTAGCAAATAGAATCCAGCAATACATAAAAAGAATGATATATCATGACCAAGTATCCATTCCTCATAAAAACTATCAGCAAATTGGGAATACATTCCTCAATATGATAAGGAGCAGCTACAAAAATCTACAGCTAACACCATGCTTAACGGTGAAATATTCAAGAAGAAAAACTAATCTATGGTGGAAAATATCAGAATAGTAAGTGTCTTCCAGAGAGTTGGGAGTGGGGAATAACTGGGAAGAGACATGAGGGAACTTTCCGGGATGATGGTAATATTTTAACTCTTGATAGAGGTTTAGGTTATTGAGTATGTCAAAATTCATCAAATGGCACATTTAAGATTTGGCATTTTACTATATGAAAATATCATTAAAATATAGAGAAGAAAACGATTGAACTCTAGTTAATGATATTTTATGTTGAGGTGTTTAGTTGTAAAATGGACTCATGTCTACAACTTTCTTGAAATGCATCAACATAAAAATAGATTGATGGATGAACAGAGATATTTATAGAAAGATGTGTGAAATAATAAGAAAGATATATTGGTCTCTGTCTCTTGGTTCTATCTACCATTTTGTCATGTTTCCCCTGAGCTCAGCTGCTTTCAGCTTTTGATCTCATTTCTCTTCCAGAGTTGAGGCTCACGGTAACAATGCCCATGCAAAGGCAGCCAGCCAGCCTCAGGAAGGAACCCCATCCTCCTGTGTAACACCACTGCACACAGCCCACCTGGTGGGCCTTAGGGAGGCACAATCATTAAAGTGAAATACAGTGCTCTTCTCCTGCTCCCTCCACCCTGTACCACTTCCCTGGGAGATGATGATGAAGAGCAACCTGTGTTGGAAATTACCTGTAACCTTTCTGTTTGAGACTGGCCTTGGGCCTGCTTCGCCATACTTTCATAGGAGTAACTCATCTGAAACTACAAACCCCTTCCAAGGTAACTGTGGGGGGTAACCTCAACTTACCAGCATAACTTGGTTGGTTAACATTTCCACCTTTTTTAATACAGAGATGAACAAGATCAATATCATTCCACACAGCAGCCTTATATAGTAAGTTCTCTCCAAAAATGTTTCTCCGGTTAACAGCAGAAAGAGATACTGTATTCATCTTCAGTTTTTCTGAAATAAGGGAACAAAAGAAAACACAAAAATAATAATCCTTATTTGAAAATCAGGAGGAATACAGGTAACAAGATGAATCCAGTCAACATTCTGTGACAGAAATATATATTATGAAAGTATTTCATTCATCAACCCAACTATAACATCTACAGGCAATAAAGTGAAAGAGACAAATGTGTGAAAAGAGACAAAATTAGTGTGAAAATATTTGTTATAAATCATCTAAGCAGTTTATGTTGATTGAAACCCCATGAAAGGTGCATACAAGATTAACAGATTCTTTTCTTTTTTTTTTCTTTTTTAAGATTTTATTGGGGAATTGGGGAAGGGGAGCAGCCAAGTTGTTGTCCTTCAATCTTAGTTGTGGAGGGTGCAGCTAGCTTAGCTCCAAGTCCAGTCGCCATCCGGCCACCCATTGGCAGCTCGCTGCTGCTCAGCTCAAGGTGCTGTGTTCAATCTTAGCTGTGGGTGGGCGTAGCCCACCATCCCATGTGGGAGTCGAACCGGAAACCTTGTCGTTAGGAGCACGTGTTCTCACCAGCTAAGCCATCCTGCCACCTGTCGGCAGCTCAGCTCAGGCGCAGCTCACTGGCCCATGTGGGAATCCAACTGGAGACTTTGTTGCTCAGAGCTCACGTTTTTAACCAACTGAACCACTTGGCTGGCCCAGATTATTTTCTTAAAAGGCGCACTGGAAAAGATTATTTAGATCTAGGATTATATGATATTAAACCCCAAAAAATGTTAATATAATAACAAAATGTCTTGTAAAACCATGAGGAGACAATCTAAGAGGTATATAAGGAAGATATAAAAATTAATCCCAGAGACCAGAAAAGAGAATGCTGAATTTTCTTTGCTAAAAACAACTGTCATAAAATTAAATAAAGAACTATAATCTTGATCTGTATAATAGCTTTGATTTTCTAAGCCAGGAAATACACAATTAAAACAGTTTGCCAGGTTATGCATACCAAGTATCATTTCTCCACTGTGCTTCCTAAAATACTGAAACTCCTCATTTAGATACTCCTAATCCTGTCAATTTGGGGGATAATATTCATTTGGTTTCCCTGAATTTCAGAATAGCTTTGATGATAGCTTTTCCAATTTTGATCTAGCTAACTTGCCCTATCCTAAAATCTCACAAAAGTAATTGAATACTGCAGCAGATTTCTTAATACATCGTAATTTGCCTTTTATTTGACTCTTTCCACTCAGCTCCACTGTAAAACAAACCAACTGCTGAACATTTGAGCCTAGGTCCTCCACCCTGGACTAAAAGCATTTTGCTGTCACCAGAAAAACTGTATGCTAACCAAAAATCAATACTCAATACTCTTAACTCCCAGATCTATCTCTGCCAATTGTAGTTGCTATATAATTCTGTAATTTATTTAAAATAACAAATTGAAAATACAAAAATTTTCAATGAAAATTAATTTGTGGGAGACAGTCACTTCCAATCATGACTAAATAACTGCCATAACTTGCCCTCCCATTGTAAACAACTTTCTTTTGATCGGTATGGTAGGCTAAATAATGGTCCGCCAAAGATATCTCACATCTTAATCTCTAGAACCCAAGGCTGTTTCCTTATACAGCAAAAGGGACTTTGCAGATGTAGTTAAACTAAGGGTCTTGGGAAGGGAAGTGGGAAGCAAGAAAATCAAAAGGGGAGAAGGCAATGTGACAACAGAAGCAGAGACTGGACTGATGCAGCCAGGAGCAAAGAAATGCCACATCCACTAGAAGCTAGAAGAGGTAAGGAACAGATTTTCCCCTGGAGCCTACAGAAGGAATCAACCCTGCTGACACCTGGATTTTAACCCCTTAATATTCATTTGGACTTTGAACCTCAGAACTGTAAGAGAATAAACTGTGTTAAGTCACTAAATTTATGGTAAATTGCTACCATGATAAGAAACTAATACAACTGATGTTAGCAAAGTGCATTTTACCCCATTTTTTTAAACCTATTTATGTCTTTATATTTCAAGTGTGTTTCTTCAAGTCCGCATATATTAATAGTTGGGTCTTGCTTCTTCATCCAATCTGACAACCTCTACCTTTTAATTGAGAGTGTCTTGACCATTTACATTTCATATGGTTAGGTTTGACTGTATCATATTGCTTTGTTTTCAGTTTTTCCCATCTGTTCTTTGTTCCCTTTTCCCTCTTCTTTTACCTTCTTTTGGGTTAACAATGAATATTTTTATTATTCCATTTTATCTTATTGTTGGCTTATTAGCTATAGCTTATTTCCTTGCTATAATGGTTCCTTTAAGGTTTATAGTACACACCTTTAACTTATTACATTCTACCTTCAAATGGTATGTTCACTTGCATTTTAAAATAGTGTTTCATTTTCCCCCCCTTTGTTATTATTGTCATGAATTTTACTTTTATATACATTAAAAACTTCATAATCCATTATTTTTGTTTAAACAATTATCCTTTAAAATTGAGTAAAAAAAATGTGCATTTTTATCCACATAGTTACCATTTCCTGTGATCCTCACTCCTTTGTATAAATGCAGATTTTCATCAAGTACCATCTTTCTTTTACTTGAAGAATGTCCTTTAACATTTTCTATAGTATGGGTCCGATGGAGTTCTTTCAGCTTTTGTTATGTCTGAAATTTTATTTCACCTTCATTTTTGAAATAATTTTGCTGGGTATAGAATTTTATGTTCTAGTTATAGAGTACTAGGAATAAAATTTCTTTTAGAACTTAAAACCTGCTGCTTCACTGTCTTCTTGTTTGCATTGTTTCCAAAAAGAAATTTGATGTCATCCTTATCTCTATTCTTCTATACATAACGTGACTTTTTTCTTATCAGTACATATATATTCTTCTGATTTCTTAAATAACTGAATATTATTTCATTGGTTATATTATAATTTATTAACTATTCACCTAGTTTAGATTGTTTCTAGTCATTACAATAAGCAATGTCGTGATGAACATCCTATAAAATATCTTTATATATTTAAGCATGTATAAGTTATGGAATAAATCACTTTAAGTAGAATTTCTGATTCAAAAGAATTGTGACTTAAACTTGTAATAATGTAAATAAACTGCTCTGTAAAAAGACTGAACAAATTTACACTATTACCAAGAACACATGAGAATGCTTACTTTTTCCACATTCTCACCATTGGTAATTCTCAAATGTTTAAATGTCTGGCATTCTCTTAGGTGAAAATTACACTTTTTAATTTTCATTTCTTTAATCATGAGTGAGATACTAATCTTTTCAGGTACTTATATTTTATTTTAATTTTTTCTGTGAACTGCTTATTCATGTCCCTTACCCACTTTTTTTATCCTTTATCCTTACTGTTTTGTAAGAGCTCCTTGCATGCTAATGAAATTAGCCCCTGTTTATGCTTACTACTTCTTATTAATATATTATTAATATGACATATTAATAACAACGTTATTACTAATATTTCTCCTGTGTTTGATGTTTGGTTTTCTTTAGGGTATTTTTCCATACAATTTTTTAAAAATGTATGCAGTCAATTTTATCATTCTTTTCCCTCCTGGCTTTTAAGTTTGAACCATTCTTTAAAAAGGCTTTTTCTACTCCAAGATTATAAAAAGATCCACTTATATTTTGTTCTGGAATTTTTTCTTTTAAATCCTTGGTCAAACTGGAACTAAATTTAGTGTAAGGGATGTTGTAGGGATCCAATTTTGTTTGTATTTTTCACTATTTAGGGCTTAGTCCTTCTTTTTTGCCACCAATATGAGATGCCATCTTTATCGCATGCCTGCCCCCATACTCCCACTGTATCTCCCTTCTACATCTAAACTCTTTATTCTGTTTCACTGATTTGTCTGTCTATTCCTGTGCCAGTACCATATTATTTTAACTTCTGACTTTCTAATTGCTTTCATATTATACAGAGCAGGTTTCTGCCCATCCTCTCCCTTTGCTTTTTCTTTCTTTTTTTTCCAGAATTTTCTTGGCTAGTTTTTCATTATTTACTTTTCCAGCCAAAATTTAGTATTATATAATATTTTCACAGCTATGCTCCAGCCCGATAAACCAAAACAAAATAAAACAATTAGAAACAAAAATCTATTTTAGATTGAGCTCTCATGAATTTATAGAATAATTTAGATGTAAATTTCTTACAGCACTGAATCGTTATGGTGAAGAATAAGGTTTTTCTTTGCATTTACTCATGTCTTTTTTTAATGTCCCTCAGAAGAATTCTTAAACCCTCTTTTTATAGGTGTGGCACATTTCTTATTAGGTATGTAGATAGATACTTTTCTCTCTTTGCAACCATTATAAATGGGATCTTCTATTTTCTAACTGGGTAAAATTTATATATATGAAAGGTATTTATTTACTTTGTCTTCTTTTGATTTATTGAATTTTTAAAAACATTTTATTTGGAAATAATTTCAGACTTACAAAAAAGTTGTAAAACTTTAACAAAGGATTCACCCATTGTAACATTTTGCCACCACTTTAAATCATTCTATTGTCCTCTTTATATATACATACACATGCACATAGACATATAAAGAATAACTTGTATATACCATGTCCCATTTTTCACTAATACTTAAGTGTATATTTTCTAAAAACAAGGATCTTCTTTTACACAACCAAGTTATAATTAAATTCAGGGAAATTTAACACTGATATAGTATTATTATTTAATTTATAGTCCATATTTCAATTTTGCTAACTGCCCCTCATATTTTTTAACTAATCTTTCTAGATTCTTATTGTTTCTTTCTGATAGTTTTTTAGTTAATTTTTTGAGGTTTTATAGAAATAACATCAAAGAATAATAAATTTTACCTTCTCCTTTCCTCCATTTATTCCTCTGGGTACGATTTCTCAAAGCCTTAGGTTGGTGACACCACAAACAGATCAGACATCTAAATTTTAAAAGGGTTCTGTAACTATTCTCTCCAAAGCACAAAGCACAAAATACCAACTAATGAACCAGGTCAGGATAAAATCCTAGTTGTACTGCAAATGAGCTATGTAATGCTGGGGAAAATCCTAACCTCCCTGAACTTCCTCATCAGTAAAATGAGAAAGTTGACATAATCTCTAAATCATTTTTATTACCAGAATCCTATGTTTCTGTAAATTATTTACTTAAAGAAATAAAATATGACTCACCATTGTTTCTTGCAAGTTTTCTGTTTTTCCAGGTCTGTTCTCCACTCTTGAGTCTGGATGAATGCATAGTCTTCCTTTTACCTTTAATCATTAAAGCAGGATCCTGCATTCTTGAAAAATAAATGTGTTTTTAAAATTACTCTCATGTTCTCTATAGACATTCACAGAGAATCATATCAAATTTTACTAAATTTTTAAAACTCAAAGGTATTTTACTGAGCTGTTGTTAAGCAGCATGGCAGTTTTAAACATGGAGGTGGCTCCTTAGTAAACTGCAGATAAATGTGTGACAGGCATGCCAATTATTATGGTTTCTACTCTTTTCTTTGTGCCACCTATGCGTTTCTCTTCTTTAGGGGCAGTCACCTACAAGTGTGAACATATTGAGTTTCTTGCCCCTCACACTCCAAGCTGATATGCTACTATCCTGTCTACTCATCTTCTTTGGAAACAAAGCAGGCTCTTTGCAAGAAAAAAGGATTTGCCATGTGGTATGGCATTGATCAAAAACTGCAAAAATAGTGGCATAAAAACAGACACATAGATCAATGGAACAGAATAGAGAGCCTGGAAGTAAACCTATGCATGTATGGTCAATTAATTTATGACAAAGGAGCCAAAAATATACAATGGCAAAAGGATAGTCTCTTCTATAAATGGGGTTGGGAAAACTAGATAGCCACATGCAAAAGCATGAAACTAGACCACGATCCTACACCTAGCATGAAACTAGACCATGATACAATAATTAACTCAAAATGAACTAAAGACTTGAATGTAGGACCTGAAACCATAAAACTCATAGGAAAAAACACAGAGGGCAAGCACTTTCACAATAATCTTGGCAATGGCTTTTTGGATTTGACATCAAAAGCAAAGACAACACAAACAAAAATAAACAAGTTTGTACATTAACCTAAAAAGCTTCTGCAAAGCAAAGGAAACCATCAATGAAATGAAAAGGAAACCTACCAAATAGAAAAAAATATTTGCAATTCATGTATCTAATAAGGGGTTAATACCCAAAATATATAAAGAATTCATACAACTCAATAGCAAAAAAAAAAAAAGAATCTGATTAAAAAATGGGAGAGGGACTAAAACAACATATTTCCATAAAAGACATCCAAATAGCCAATGGAGGTACATGAAAAGGTGCTCCACATCACTAACCATAAGGAAATGCAAATAAAAACCACAATAAGATATCACTTCACACCTGTTAGAACAGCTATTATTAAGACAAGAAATAACAAGTGGGGCCATCCAAGTGACGCGTTGGTTAGGAATTGGCTTGGGACGCAAGCTCAGAGCAGCAGGGCCCTGCTTCGGATCCCACATGAGGGCCAGTGACACTGCCCTCTACAGCTAAGATGGTGAACAACAGCTCCACCTGGAGCTGGGCTGCATGAGTCGCTGGCGACAGCGTAGGCTGCAGCTCCTGCTGCAGTGGGCCGCTGTAAGCTACTGTGAGTGGCTGGCAGCCGGTGTGAGCTGCCAAGAGCCGCAAGCGGCCGTCCAATGGCCAGCGACTGATCTGCCTCACTCGGAAAGAGCGCAATGATACCACCAACATGGGCCAGTGAAGGGACGTCCTCCATAACTAGAATGAAGAACAGAAGGACAGCAACTTGTCTGTTCCCCTACCCAATTCCCCAATAAAATCTTTAAAAAAAAAAAAGAAATAACAAGTGTTGCTGAGGATGTGGAAAGGGAACCCTTGTACACTGCTGGTGGGAATGTAAATTGGTACAGCCACTATGAAAAACAGTATGCAGGTTCCTCAAAAAATTAAAAATGGAACTGCCCTATGATCCAGAAATCCCACTTCGGGGTATTTATCCAAAGAAAACAAAATCACTATCTCGAAGATATCTACGCAGCCACATGTTCACTGCAGATTATTTACAATAGCCAAGACATAGAAACAACCTATGGATGGATGGATATATTTTTAAAAACATGGTATATATAGAATGTAACATGACCACATGGATGGACTCTGAGGGCGTTATGCTAAGTGAAATAATTCAGACAGAGAAAGACCAATATTGTATGTTCTCACTTATATGTGGAATCTAAAAAAAAATCCAAACTCTGACTTCTGGGTCACTGGTTTGGGGAAATACTTTTACAAAGCAGCAAATGGTGCAGTCTGGGTGCAGAAAAAGAAGTAACTTCAGCTTAAGTGTTAGCTATGGAGCAATGGAGGGGACAGGAGGAGGGGTGGAAAGAGACTCATGTCGCATGATACGACTAACGGAGAAGGATAACGCTTAGATCATAAATCAGCTTGCCACTACTACCTATGGCTTTGAAAGGACACCACTGTTTCTTACTGTATCACCAGCTCATTAATACAAGTAGGCAGTCATTACAAGTGATACAAGAGAGAGCATAATTTACATATTAAGTAGTTCCTCAGCATTCCTATACCCAAATGCATGCCTTTGTAAAACACTTCAAAGGCACAGTTCAGGTCAACACATTAAGGTTTTCTTTTGTCTATAAAAAGGATGCTTCTCAAAAGTCATGATTTCAGTACCAATTGCACAGATTGCTTCGCTGGGGGAACCTGCAACCCCTTGCCTGAAATGGAGGTGGAAACTTTTCCAACATGAATGATTATTTCCACTGACATTCTGATGAAGTTAATCAACACAATTTACAAGAAGTGCTGTATTTGAGAGTTCTCTGTAGGGGTGGGTATGAATAATATTAACTTTTGTAATGCAAAACCATAAAAATTAATTAATTTTATTTATATCATAAAGCTATATTAATAGCATTTTTTTAAAAACCTGAACTCATGGATACAGAGAACAAATTGGTGGTTCCCAGAGGTGGGAGGTAGGGAGTGGATGAAATGGGTGAAAGTGGTCACAAGGTACAAACTTCCAGTTAGAAAATAAATATTAAGTCATGGGATGTCATGTACAGCATGGTGATTATAGTTAACAATACTGTATTGTATATTTAAGTTTGTTAAGTAAATCTTAAAAAAAAAATTGTAACCATGTGGTGATGTATGTTAACTAAAACTTATTTTAAAAAAGAAAGAAAACTAGCATTATGCTGAAATATAACAAATTTCCCATTACTTTGTCTTAAAAATAAAAAAGTAAACGAGTTTGGGCAGGCCGAGTGGCTCAGCTGGTTAAGAGCTCGCTTGGGAGAGCCAGCTCTGAGCAGCAGG